TGATCAACAATTGTTGATCAGGCGTGTTAGCTATAAGTATATATGGCAGGTATATGGAAATACATTTACACATCAAAATTTTACTCAAAAACGCATAGATGTACTATATGAGGTATGTATATGCAGCGATTAATATCAATGTGATTTCACTAAAGCAAATATTCATTTAAAATGGGCACTTAAATGACAACAAAGTAAAGCTCATACGCACGAAGGCATGTATGTACGTACTATGTAGATACTCAAATGAGTGCAACAAAAAAGAAAACAGCACTATTGTTTTAGAAGGTTTCTGTTGTAGCATGCCGCCAGCGATCCTTTTCTCTGTACTTCTTACTCAAATACACACTCGTACATACCTATTAGGAGGCTGCTGAGCGTGCACATATATCTGTAGGTACATAGAAGTAATAGTCTCGGTGCTGAGAAGGCTTTAAAATTGTGGGAAATATCAACCCAGTGTATATTTGCTACAAAACAACTAAAAATCATATATAAGAAGCCTATGACTTTGAAATAACGCAGCATGACATTGTTGTTGCTGTTTATTTCTGTGTTTGCTGGTATTATTGCCGAAACCGTTAAAGCGATACTTTGTTGCCCAGCAACGAGGTCATTGAAGAGTTGAGTGCACAAACTGCATTGTATGTGTAGAGTGCATGGACGACCATCTTAGCCTAGGGGGAAAGTGCAACCATATGTGGCATTTAATTTTCACACATTACTTTGTTGCCAACTTTGTCATAAGCCAAATGGGGGACAAACAATGGCCAATTATGAAATGGGGTGGGTAGGCAAGGCGGAGCGTAAAGGCTTGTTCTCATGAAGAGGCTGATTTCGATGCGCTAACGGTATTTGTAGAAAAGGCCTGTGGTATACTAATAAAGATGAGAGCTAACGAATTAACGCAAAAAACTTTTAAAGTGGAAAATTCGAAGACAAAGTTCTGTGGTATCTCCAACAGAAGAGGGAAGTAAAAGTTAGTGAGCGTTAATAATTGCATTAAATGTGGAAATAGGGCAAAAACAATTACAAGTGACAAGAGAACTAAATTAAACTTCTGCCGCATTTTAACTTGTCTACATTTATTTAGTGGTTATTCCGCTTCCAGTTACCCATTGTTTGAGATGAATAACGAAGAGAAATATTATGGAGTAAACTAAGGTTGCAGATCAGAGCGGTTTGACTATAATAACACCATACGGCAAACTCTGGGTATTACTAAGTAAAAAAATTAGTTTATATATATTAATATATTTTATATTTTATTTAAACTAGGAAACTAGGGGAACTGGTTACTAAGTTATCCATCCCATTTTGTGTAGAAACATATTAATTTTCGTATGTGTACATTTCAATTTAAAATTAATTTTAATAGTATTGGAGATAAGTAGGTGTTTGCTACATTTTGCGATGTATCGATGTATCGCAGTTTATTAGGTGTTGCATGATTAGGGTATCATTACAGTTCGGGCAAAGTGGTGGCGTCCGTGTGTTAGTTTGGTATGACCGTGTTTAAGTCTCGTCATAACACGTTGCTGGTGTTTTGTTTGTAAAATTTATCCTCATAATTAGAGACACGTTGCGTTTTAATGAAGTCGGCGTGGCACCTGTTTACAGCTTTTTCGGTGTAGCTGTTGATTAAAATGGTAGGGTGAGTGTGTGCGTCCTTTGCCATTTGATCGGCGTTTTCGTTATCTGTAATTTTTACATGAGTATATCATATAAAGTGCTTATGTTGCCTCGTATAAGAGTCTCTTTGACCCTATGGATGAGGATATCGCTAATATTCGATGATTTTATAGCATTTAAAAAAATACTTATTGAACAGCGACTGTCTGTGTAAATTATTAGTTTACGGTCTTTTGGGTTTTTGCGGCTTCTTCAATTGCTGTTATTTCCGAAGTGACGATATTGTGTAGTTAGGCAAAAGCGCAATTTTGTTTAGTTCCTTAGCTTCTGAAGTAATAGTAAAGGTGTTTTCGACTTTCTTTGAACCCTCACAGTAACATATTAGCCAGATCTTTTGCTTCCTTTTTGTACTTCTTCGACATGTAGTTGAATTAAGGCGAGGGGGTTCTTGCTACTTTTAGGGAAACCACTGGATATATAAGGAGTTTCAGCAGACTTCCAGGGAGGACAAAATACTTTGTAGGTTTTTAGTTTCGATAAATCTCGTCGTCATCTGGGGTGTTGCTTCAGAAGCAATACAATTTATAAATTAGGAAAAATGCTTGTGTAAGTTAATACAGTTAAATAAAGCTCGTGATTTCTAAAAAAAAAGAATGAGTCATACATAGGAAAATTGTTGCTTATAGAGGTAAATACAAAAGAAGCTCTCAGTTAAAGAGATCAGAGTGGGAAAAACGACTGTCACTGATGGAGGTTTTTGTTTCTCACTCATAGAGGTTTTTGAGAGGTCAAAGTTCGGGACTTGAGAATTATTCTCACTTACAGAGTTTTCTCACTTACCCAGTTCTCTCTTACTCAGGTTTGACTGTACACATATTTTTTAAGTCAACACGGCTTGGCGACCTGCATGAAAAAATGCAATGATGATGAAATCCGATTAAAGGAAAAAATCTACGATTTTCAAATTTTTTACTAATATTTTTTTCGAAAAGTACTTAGAATGTTTATCTCGTTAAACTAATGAAGAGTGTTTCGAAATATTTTCTTGCCAAAAGAGTCTGTCATTCAATCAGAAATAAGCGCAAAGTATTCTCAATTTGTTCAATTGGAAATAAATCGACATAATCAATCATAAGAAAAGTGAGTACGGTAGTAATGAATACAAGTACTTTTGTATAAACAATTATACCTTAAATACAAGCATACTTAATTATAACCAACATACATACATATATACAAAGAAATGTAAATATATTTACATTTGTATATGTGTGTATGTGGCGCGAATTTAAAATCGTGGTCTGAACCGAGTACTTAATATTTAAAAGCGATACCCACACAAGAACTTTAGCCACTATCGCAGCATATAACCTTAAAGTTTAAAGTTAGTGCTTTTTGCTTTTGCTCAGTTCAAAAGAACAACAAATGCTTTTAATGTTTACGACAATATGAGTACATAGCAGAAATAAAAGAGGTTGCCGACAAATTCTTGCGTTGGGTGTTGCACTTTACCCTCACGATGGCGCTTGACAATGCATCTAAAACTCACACACTCTTCTATGTACATATGTGTGTTTGCATGCGAACAACGCTGGCATCAATACGGTTATCTCCTGTAAAAACATATAATCATGCCTGTGCATATATGGTAAATATATGAGCATCGGTATGCGTACGTGTTTTTGTGTGTCTTGCGTTCACTGCTATCTGGAATCGTAGGCTCCGGCGAATGGGCAGCTCCTCCTGTGCTCCCTAAGCATTCCAATGCATGAGCCTGGAATGTGGAATTTAATGTTTGAAAATGAGTTTTGTGCGCGCGTGAGTTTAATACGCAGTCATGTACGACAACTGCAACGCTCCAGTGATTTGACAAAGGATCAAGATGTTAATTTATATGAAAATGCTAGTGACAAATCAAAGTCCTCGTTGCTGTAAAAAGGAGTAGCAATATTAGGGCCACGATAAAGCACTTTCAATAAAAAATGTAACTGGCTTACTAAGGCTTGTAATGGAAGTTTATACTTTATACTTTACTACTTGTTATGTCATTGGTGTCTTAAATTAATCTTTTTAGGGTTTGGAGGAAGTTGTGTTCTCTTATATGGATATATAAAACTACCGCAACAATAATGTGGGAATAATCTAAATTAGTGTGGGGATTTGTTTGTCCAAAAATTGTCTGCAGTTCTAACTTACATTCGTAATCTGGCCCATGCTAGAAATTTATTTCAAATTTGTTACTTTATAGTGCGAACAATACATTGAATATTGCGCAGTCTTCTACTATACAACCTCATTCACAGTAACGCTATAACCGTACTAGTTGTAAAAAAAGAGAGTCCGTGAAGTTAGGTCGGCTCATAACTTAGTAAGACACAGATAATACTGACAGTAAAAAAGGATATGTAAAATACTAGATCTTTGTTGGAAAGTTTACACTATGTTGTGCTTGCTTTTAGGTTAGAGACCTGTTTTGCATACCGCAGGCAATAAAATTTCAAAATTATGCATACTTGTATTACTAATTATTGTGTAAAGTTATTCATTTTGGAATAAACATCTGATTTTGACATTATGAGTGAAAACACTTAGTATAAATTGCGGTTTATATGCCCTTGTATTATTGAATCTGATGTCTGATCATGTCCTTTTCTTACCATAGAGGAATAAAATTATATTGTTATGTTATTTCATTCATTTCTATAAGTTCTGATTTTTTCCTCTATATACGCTAAGGGTCCGCATCTTCCCGTACGGATACAAAGTGCCACAATTTCCTGGACGATTACAAGCCGCAGATGAGCGTTTTCCGTTTTACCTTTTCCGACGCGGTGAGCAGTTTCGAGCAGGAGAATAATTTTGTCGCTATTCGTTTTAGAACTCGTAAGCTGGCAGCTGAAGCGATTAGCAACAAAATCATAGAGTTGGCAACTGTGAATCTCTCTATTTGAGTGTTTTATTCAATGTAAGCAGCCGCAGGCGGCTTCATTCTGTCATACTGGAAGACGACAGGAAATGTCGCATCAAGCACGGTGATGAATTTCCTGCTGTCAACGACTTTTTCCAGCCACTGAAATTGCCTACCAGCACCGGATGGTTGGCTGCTGATAATAGTTGGCGCCGAACTTCACCACCAACTCAATTAAGCTCGGCGCATTCGTACACAAGACGTTGACATCCAAAGTGTCTGCGAAAGACGATGATGGTAACACGATAATTCATGTGCCATCAGTCGAACATCTTGTACTTGTTCTTTAACTTAGTTTTACGCAGGCGAAAAAGATGATGCTTGTTCTACAAATATCATCATAATTCATGCTGTTGCGCAGTATTTCGCATAACCATTTTGTTATCTCACATAGGTATGCCATAACTTGTATGTATAAGGAAAATAAATTAAGTTTCGCTGAAAGGCGTTTGAAATAATGTTTCGCGCTGAGGCATTTGTTGATTGTTATTAAATGCTTTTACGTCTAAATGCTTATTAAGGAAGCTGTCGATGGTCAACAAATATTATATAACTCTCCGTACTACAAATAAGTAAGCGGTATGTACTTAATGCCAACTTATATTTCTTTCTAACTATAGTATATTATATAACCTAATTTCATTAATCAAATTCAAGCGGCTGGAATCCAGATAAAATGACAAAGTTATTTAGAAATAAGCGGATTAGCAGCGAGAGAACTATTCTTGGTTGTGATACATGAAGTAATTTACAGTGGATTCCCAAAATTAAGAATAATTGAGTGACGAATGCCGTTGAGTTTGTAATAAGCAATGACTGGAAAAAGCAGCTGAAAGTTAGCAGATTTATATGTACATATACATGTGAATAGCGTCGGACTGTGTACTTGCCATAATTGACTTACTCATTAAAAATATACAGTACGTAAAATTAATATGTTTGATTCAATTATTGAGAGCAATTGCACTCACTAATCGCACCATGAAAAACGTGTTTAATTTTTGTACGTTAATCACAACTTACCTAACTGGTCATTTTATGAATGAAATAAAATATTTTCTGGTCAGTCCGAATATTTTTTCTCCTTTTATTTGGCAACTTTTTCATTATCATATGTATGTATGGTATATGGTTACGAAAGTATATGTTATATTTATATATATAGCGCATAATACTGTGTGTATGTAAACATATGTATATGGGAAATTTTTCATTGCCCACTTAGTTTCATTACTTATTGTAGCATTGGCAATTATTGTGCACTAATTTGTATTCTCTTTTTTCGCTTTCATTGCGCTTAACGATGACAATTGCAACTTTTGTTTCGCGAAACTCGGCCGACGAAGCTTGCCAGCCAGTCAGTCAGCCTGCAAAGGAAGCAAACTAAATGGTGCTACGAAACTATGAATATACAAATGTGTGCTATGTGAATGAGAGCAATTCGTAAGAGGCTTTTTGTCAGATGGAAAGTAAAACTTTGAATAATCTTATTATGTAAGAATAATGTATTTAGTCTGCCTGAAGAAATAGCCGGTTAAACTACTTAAGGTTAATATTACTTAGTTAGGACTATTTCTTTTAAAATGCTTCTAGAGCATGTGCGAAATTGAACTGATTTTTAAAGCATACTCGCAGATTGACAAGAGTAACATTTGCTCTTTACCCTTCCTGCATGGCGCCTTTCTACCACTTGTGTAAATAGGTATTTTTTACGTCAGATGATATTTCAATTACTAAACATATACATATATATATATATAATATGTACGTATGAATATGTGTATATTTCAAATGTGTATATGCAAGTGTACATTTTTTGTTACATTCTAAGTGTAGTATATGAGAATTCTTATGCTTAGTTATACTGAGAGCTTAACAAACATGTTACAGTAGTTATTGTTTTATGTCAAAGTTTCTTGTAAGACTTCGATCGACTTCTATATTTTTGGTTAATCGTCATACACTTATTTTGATCTTACGGCTTATTTATAGTGATTAATTCAACTTTTATAACAAATCGGTTTATTAACTAAACACTTTTAATTTTCTTTTAGGACACACATGAATCACAATATTAATTCTTAATTACTTTCACTTCTGCACTCAGCAAGCATTTCACTTTCGATCATTACGTCACATTTAATTCCACATAATTTATGGTAAGTTGGCGTATTCGTTTTGCATATAGACATTCCGCCGATTTGTTTGCAAGTCTTGCAATTATCCACCTGGCTCATCCTAGTTGCCGTAATCGTCGATGAACGTGTCGATAATGTATCGTTTTACCTCATTTATTGATGTACGTTTGTTGGAGCATTGATGTCGTTCCTGGTTATCGGGCAGCACCAATAATTGTTGCAGTTCGCCCTTTTGTGTATTGTAATACATTTGATTTGTGTAATATTATAAAAAAATAGAGAATAAGAAAAATATAATTTTCTTTTTAATTTTAATGCTTGAGAACAAAAATAAACTTTATACTTAAGCCCCATTATATTTTATTCTGATTAGTTTAATTACGCTTGCCTGCTCATTATAATTGAATTTAAATTGCCGTTACTCAATAGTAATTAAAATAATACATCTAAAACTCTAGAAATAAGTTTTTGGCCTTGATACTGAGAGATCTTGAATATGAGCAAACAAAAATATGCATCTGGCTTATGCATATTCCATTAGAGTGTGAACTTGGAAAGATTTGCGGATATGTTGTGTGCCTTTCAATAAGGAAAAATTTTAAGAATTATCCCGACCAAATATTGTATATTACTTGCATAATATAATAATAATGCATTATCAATATTATTCTTGTAATGCGTTGATTAAATGATGATTTCTCAAAAAAGAAGATATAATTATAATATATTAATGTTACATATATAAATATGGCTGGTTGAAGCTTTTGGCCAAAATACAGCAATGAATTTCTTATATAAAACCATAAATATACTCTTGAGGGGCAATTTCGGCACCATTTATGTGTGACGGAATGCGTCCCAAAACTCACATTAAAGCCACGTCCAATTTCCACATCGGCATCCAGTGGCAGCGTGTAAAGGCGCTTCGACACAACAAAACTGTTTGTCCAGGAACAATCGGTATAAATGGAAATGAAATCGCCATTTTGTATGCTGCAATTATATCCGTGGCAAGTGCGGAAAGGAGGCACGCATGAAATAATAAAGCGAAAGAGATAAATGTAATTTAAAGTCGAACAAAAACCATATAAAAGTACTGAAAAGTTATGCATATGTATTTGCTCTTATATAGCTGTGAAATAAAATAAAGCTCGAAACTATAAAAAAATTGGCTTGTATTGCAACGCAAAAGGGCAATTTGTGCAACAGTTAGATGTAGAAAAGGCAATTATACAGCGGTGAAACAAAAGCGAAAAATATACGCCGTGTTTATTCACTCCAGTAGCGGTTTTAAATATAGGTAGTGTGTAGAGAATGTATGCCTGGCATACTAAGGCATCAAGCGGCGCGAAGCGACATTAATCGTGTAACAATTTATACAATTTCAATAAATATTGGGTATGACGAACTGTTGCAATATTTTTTTGTATGCTGTTGACTTGACTGATGCCTCATTTATTCACATAATGCTCATGAATCATGAGTCATGAATTTGCTACATTTGAATTGGTTATAGTAAGAGGACACTTCACCTCTCTTTATTTCGCATACACGTAAATGCTATTTCTATGAACGCAATGAATGAGAGTAAGGAATAAAATGATGAATTTTGTAAAACAGATAGACGATATAATCAATATACATATATATGACATTAAGTATAGCATTATACATACATACATACGTTAGCCATCTAAAGCTTAGATAATATCTTTATTTGTTGTGAACCCATATTTGCATGCCGTCATGTTTCGATTGTTTTATGTTCTGTTTCGGGAACTCAATGTTCTACAGCACATATACGGAAAACTTAAATATTTATTTGCTTAGTTCTTAAAAAAAAACATAACCCCCCGTATGGATTTAGTCAAACTTAAAACAAAAGGCCAACCTTAATATTAAGCCCAATCCTCCTCACACAAACACACAAAATTCGAATAAAAACAAAAGATATTTCAGCTATTTATAGACTATCCATATATAGGTATGTATATGTAACTCACCTGATGGCCACTTGATGCCAACGAAAATCGTATAAATTAAATTTCACTGGCAGCATTTCAGTGGTGCCGTCTCGCTCTAGATACAATCGCAAACCGTCCTTGCATGATTCCAAATACATATTGTGGGTGGCATTGCGTATGGAGAAAATGGTCGTTGCGGTTTTACTGTCGTTCTGTGCGGAGCGTGTTGCAAGACATACATCACAAACGATGCATTTGGAAAGTTGTAACGGTGTAAAATGGTGAAAAATATTTGCATGTGTGTATAAATAAAATATAAAACGCTTTATCATATGAAAAACATTTTCAGGAAATCAACAAAAATAATAAACAATCTACAGAAAGAGTCGATGCAATGCGAATATTTATATGCATGTGTTTGTGACAGGTGCTGACACGGGACTTTTACATTACCTTTTGTCACCTGCCTTAGAGTACTTCATTCCAGTGTTGCAAGTAAATAACTTAAAAAGCACTAGCGGATTTATTTTTCATCGCTTAATGCTCAACTATGTTTAATTCAAATTTAAACTTACTTTGCCCTCACCATAAAGCTTTCTCCTATCATCTCGGGTGTAAAATTTATTCCTCTGACTCATTTATTTATAGACTTTCTGCACTTTAAGTATTTTTAGGTTTTGTTAAGCGTGAGGGTTCTACCATCTTTAAAAGGTATTCACATGCTCATCTATTTGGCATTCAACTGGATTACTTTGTTTTAGCTTTTACATTCAAATTATTTTTTTTGCATATTATACAACATTTTTGGACACCGGTATAAGATGGATGCTAAGATACGTACATATGTATGTACATTTGTTGTAGCAATTTAAAGGAGTTAATGCATGCATTCATATATTTTACTGAAATCCCCTTTGGAAAAGAATAAATCAGGCATAAATATTAATACTTACTCGAACTCGTAAGGTCAGCATTATCGTAAAGTTCAGTGGATTCCGCCAACTACGTATGTAGCCCATGTTTGCTGGCGTCGTCGAAGGTGCATTGTTGCCAATAGTCGCTTTGCTGCCAAAAGTATTTGCATTTATCGCACCGCTGCCAGAGGCTCTGATATCAGCGTTCAAAATGGAGGCATCTCTCTTGTTAGTAGCTAATGTGGCGCCTGTTGTAGCCGCATTGGCAACCAAGTTAACTGTCACGGTGCCTGATTCCATCGTGGTAGCTGTTGATGTGGCATGTCCATCAACTGCCATCGACGTTCCGGCAGATGATTGCAATGGAACTGTAGCGGGGCTTGAAGCATCCTCCGGCATAAGGAACTTTTTATAAAACTTTAATAAGTCGTTTATGTCATCTAGAATGAGCAAAGACAGGGATTTGTAACACTTTTCACCGTTTGGCAAAAAAGTAAACGAAAAACCCAATGGAAAATAGAATTGGAAAAAGTAAAAAAAAGCCAGGGATATCAGAGATATGTGCCATATATCAACTACAGAAGAACCGAAGTCTGCTGATTGTGGCCAGAGTTCAAAAAATGCTGAAACTTTTTCGAAGCTTATGAGCAGCGGTCCACCATGCAAAGCAATGGAGGAAAGCGCATGGAAAATACTACAGATCAGCCATGCTGCGAAGTAGTGTAAGGCATTCTCATTACCTTGGCCTAGTTAAAATGTGGGTATACTTCGTCACTTACCGCTGCAATCGAAAGTGTTACAATTTCGCTGTTCTATGTTGTAACCTTCACAAAACATAGTGGAATAGTTTTTCATTGGTCTTCGGCGTATATGCTGACGTTCCTTTATATTCTTCGATAGCACTTCGATTGTAGTTTTTTTGTTCAATTCATCCTTCGTTGCCTTATTTGCAAAATTGTCAATTACTTTCAGGTGGTCATTCTTGAGAAAACTGGCTTCATTTACTTGGAGATTAGTTTCGAATTTGTGCACCAATACGTCGATGTTGTTTTGGTTTTTGCCTTTGGAATAATCAATTCGGTCAATATTATTGGTTTTAGCTGTTCTTGCGTCGATTGCTACTGCCGGTGTAGGGGGGGCTCGCTGAGTCAGTCTTTTCAGCAAATTAGATTCTGGCACCGCATTAATCTCGTGATCTGATTGTACTTTTGATGTCACAACGTCTGCAACTGTAGCAAAAGAAGTATCAACCCCTAGAGTAGTTTCAAATTCGGCGGAAACTTTCATGGTTGTTTTTCGTTTTCGCAGTTGTAAATTGTCGCTGCTATCCTCTGCAATTGGCTGCCTTTGATAATCCTTATCATTTTTGTCCATCATTGCCGCAGTATCAAAGTCTGCGCTGTTGAAGTCTCCTAATGTATTGTCTAGCAATTCGGTGTTTTCAAAGCCCGCACTGCTCAGCTCGTCCACGACAACCTCGTCATCGTCCACCTCAGCGTCAGTTGCCGCGTTCAGGTTTAGGTGCATGTTGAAATTCACCATCGGATTATCGAGCAGACAACGGCGAAACCGTTGTTGTACACCTTTGCCGCATGTAACACTGCAAAGCGTAAAATCACTCCAATTATCCCAGCCTGTGGTAAACACACAAGTCCGGGTCCAGTCCGTTTTTCAACGGCCGGTGGTTTATGCATGTCACAAGATTTCAAGTTGTTGAATTCGTTGTCAGGCGCCATTATAGTAACAGTATGAATGTTTTGCTCTCGTTGTTGTTTTTGCAATTTCAGGTGACAGTGGTGTGTTTTTGAGCATAGCAGTGGAGGCATGTTGCGATATGGTGCCATAAATTACGTGCCCCGTGCGAAACGGTCAATGTTGCAGCAGCAGCAGACAGAGGGACGGTAGTATGTCGTTCGTGAAACGTTCATTCATCATCAAGAGGGCCATCGTCGCAATTTGTGCCGGCGATATTGGATGTTAAAGTGGTGATGTGGTTTCGAGAGTGGTGCGAAATCATCATAACAGTCGCCAACAACGTGTACCAAACATGAAATGAGAATGAGTGAACGGTAACTTGTATTTAAATTTTATCTTTATTTTTGTAGTGTTTAGTTGGATATTTAAGCCAACAATGAGTACCAGTATAGGCGCACCCGATGTGCAGGCATTTAATAAGGTTATTGATGCGACTTCAACAAAACCAAATTATTAAATTGAGTTTTATGACTGGAGTGGAGTTAGTACACGAGTTTTTAATATCATTAGCCCTACTTCTTTGTTTTATTAAATTAAGTCCAAACTTCATTAAAAGGGTCGAAAGAAATCTGCTGCAAATACTACTGATATGTGACAAACCTCTTCGGAAAATGCTTCAAATCACTTCAAATGTTCTATTAGCCTTTAGAAGCCGTTAGTTCTCTCTCTTCACAGTTTCTCTTTTTATAGTATCCATGAGCTGAAATTGGATATATCTAAGAAATTTAATCCCTTAAACCTCATATGACGAATGCAAAAAACTATATAATATAAATTTTCGTTACTTCAAGCTAATTTGAAGAAACTAGGCACTATTTAATGAATACTTGGGATAAGGAGATTTTTTAACGTTTTTATAGGCAGTTGCAATCTTTTAGGATTTTAAAGCTCCAATTAAAGTATTGTTAAACTTTAATCAACCTCATTTACAGCTATTTACTTACGAGTATACACTACATAACTCTAAAAGCTTGCATATGTTCCCAACCACTAGCGAAATATTTTCTGTTAAATTTGCGTTTCTTGCAATATCAATTTTTGAATTTTTCTGCAAATTCAGCCACTTTATATTCTGGAGTTTTTATCTGTTTTCTACTATTTCCCCCATACGCATGAGAATCGTTGCCAATAAATGGAACATTCGCCTTATTCCCATCATATGAAATGTTGACAGTTCAAGTACAAGGGATGTTGGGTGGTAGATGTGAATGTGAATATAAAATCGATAGCGAATTTACACTAAACACCATAGGCTTGTTGGCAGATTTTCCGCTGTTTGGATACATACAAATGCATAAAAATTCGCTATTAATAATACATATGGAAATGCGTATGTGGTACGAACCCTTGTCACCCTCAGAGTGGTGATGCGGTTACTACTATATGCTTAACCTGATGAGATCAAAAACGTCTCGCATATGTCAGATTAATGCTATTTGAAGTCTTTATTAACCAAAAGTAAGCGGGTTAAAGGACGTATCAATACCAAGCATGCAAGCAAGAACGCGGACTATTGACTACATTTGTAATGTTAAGGAATTTTAAATTATGCAATATACTATGTATATTGCAATAGATAACCATGTTCATATTCAAACGTTCGAAAGCTTTCATTTATACAGTATATGGGAACTATGAAATCTAAATCTGATTATTCATACCTCATACGGAATACGCATTCATTCATTGAATCTGAGTAGGCTCCGCATATTGTGTACCATATAATATATGTGAGAGCAGACGGTACGATTGCGTTAACATTTTATATATTATATGTACATGCATTAAACAATTAGTGCATAGGTGTGTACTATTTGAGTATGTTTGATATTTAAATCTGAGTGCCTCAATTAAAACTTTTATCAAAGTTAATTTAGTCTCACGATATCTATTCCAATATACTTTTGCAAAACGAACTACATTACAATAAGTAATTCATGTTTTTTCATACTCACCCAAATGTTTCCAGATGTGACTTTCAAATTGTGGACTCCAACGGTGCAAACCATTTATGCTTATGGACAAAAAGTCACTTTGTGGAGCTGTATTAAATTCGCTTCGTAATTGTTGTTGCTGCTGTGCAGTTCGCAATTTGCCAAAAACAATTAATTCGGTGGGTAGACTTTTCAAAAGGTTTCTATCGAAGCAAGACAAAGGCTGGAGTGTTGCATTTAACTGCCTGTTGATTTTAACATTTCATTATTGTTTGATATTATTGGTTTCAATTTGAATGCGAAATAAGGTGAAATAGCAATGGCATAGTAAAAGTGACATAAATGCTTTTCATCATCACACAGCTAGGTTATTTTCAACAACCCTCAAATATGTATGAGTTAGTAGCAAACAATTTGTATGCATCTACATATATTTGAATAATTTGAAGATCTCTTTATTTAAATTATAAAGAAGTTTGATTGTATTTCCATTACCAACTCCATTTAAACATATTTATTAAAACATGTTGCAGTCATAAATAACTTCTGGCTTTTAGGATACCATTTGAACCGGATAGAAATACAAGCATAAAAATTTCTATAAAACGGTCATTGAGTATGAATGTGCTCTGTCACATTGTTGGCGGTATAGGCATTAAATATGGTTAAAATTGTATACATTACTGTAGGGAAATGAATTGTGGTCAAGTTGCCTCCGCTTTGGTATATAAGTACAGATGGGAAATTATACTGCCATTATCGCTTCAACCTAAATCATAACATAAACTATTTTCATGGATAAATTTTGAGCATAAGAAATTGACTTTTGGAATGTGGCACAGTGATATATTTATTTTCCAAATTTTAATTTCGAAAAGATAAAATAAAATGTTTAAATAAAAACTTCTTAAATCGCGATTACTTTTGTCGAAGTGTTGAAATATGGTACGGGAAAAGAGCGACGTTAAGAAATGCGTGCCCACTGGAGGCATTCGTTTGGCCAAATTTGTGCATAAGAGTGTTTTTGAAGTGCACTCTAATAGGAAGAGTTTGTAAATTGTTTAACGCTTTTTGAATTAAATTGTCACTTTTCTACACCGCTTACACACGCGTTAACAAGCAAGCGACTTGCTTTGCCAGCAATCGTAGGAGTTGCCACTCGTGCAGCAGGGCAATACTGCTCAAAGCCGTCATTTACGTATTCGTCGACATATTTGGTTCAACTTACCCTTCATACTGATATGCAGACTCGGCTGTTGCGCTGTTGCCACATCCAGGGCCATAGCTACTACCACGGCCTATGCCACTGCCATCTCCTCTACCGTTGTTGTTAACTCCGCCACCGCTTCCTCCACGTGCTGCATTATCCGCTCCGGGTGTCATTTTCAAAAGTGACGCGCCTTTGTATATCGTTTCCGGTGTTAAAGTTATTAAAATGGCCGTGTTCGCCGCTGGCCGTTGTTGGGTTGTTGCTGCGACGGCCGTTGGACTGCCAACGGTTGTGTGAAATGTTGCTGATGCGAACAAATTATTTTGCAAATTCTGCTTTTTCACTTCGTCATTGACAGCGCTGTTTCTATCTGCACCAGCGCCCAATTTCGCTGCATTTAGTAAATCATTGGTGTTGGCGTCGTCTGTGAAGATATGTGCGCCAAGAGCTTTCAGTATGACCGGGCTCTTTTTGATCAACTCGGAGATGCTATCGTGGACACAGGGTGCGGCGCCGAGTCCACCTTTTACTGAAATAGGTGTCGAGTGAATGCTGGAGATGAGCAGAGTGGAACAAAGCAAGACGTAGGCGACAACCACGGGCCACGACTGCTTGTTGATGCACATTTCTACCGCTTTTATTAGAACAGCCCACTTGTTTGGAATTTTTAGTGGTTTCTGGAGTTTTCTTTGCACTTTATGTAATGTTGTACTTCTCCTGTACTTATGTTTACCGTCTGCTTGTTGAGGATATGATTTTGAGGCTACCACAATTTGCTCCTCAAGTGCTCAGTAGAGTGTTGCTGACTGTTGCTGCCGTATTTTTAGCCACAAGCAACAATTTCACTTCACAGGCGCCTTAAAGGAAAGAGGAAATGTTCAAGTTAGCGAACGTGGCAGTTATTGTACAATACGCTGGGTCTTTTTATAACTTTTTTTAGTGCGCTGTAAGCGTTCGTAAACTTATCGGATTTCTTGTTTATTCAGTTTAGGTCAAATGTCACGTTTTTATTATCTTTTTAATCCACTTTTGAACTGAATTTGAACTATTCTTCAAATCTTCTTACACTTGCTTTTAAGAGGTTCAACAAAACAGATGAATAGAATTCAGTTGCCTAGTAAGTATATAAAATATAATTAAAATGGGTACATAAATGTTGAGACTGTCAGTTTTATATCATAATATAGCAAAATACTAAGTGATTTTGGCATTAAGCCTGATTGGGTACAATTACTCTGACGAAGATATAAAAAATAGTACAATTGGAAAGTTATTTACATCCATTAAGTTATCTGTTAAGACTCACGCATTTTTCAAGCATTCTCTACTTTCCATGAAAACTTTCCGCTCTATTTGCTACCTCTTACTATACGATACGTTAAATGGGAAGTGAAAAAAGGTCATACATTTGTATTATTCATTTATACGTTAAGTGCAGGGGCCTACAAATTTTCAGTCAGGAAACGGACTGTAGGCTAAAATATATTCGGTGGTCTATAACAGCCGAATGCCATAACAAAGAACATTTTTGTGTGCTATATTTTCTGTTACGTTGTCTTTTAGTTCAACTCATAAAAAAAAAAAATTCTTACTGAAATTGTAGCTTCATCGTTATATGCTCTGCAAATAATGCAATCTTATTATTTTATACGTATTTTGTTATTGGCCAGAAAGTACATGCACACACATTTAAGAATCAATTTCAAAATAAAAACACAATAAAAGTAACGCAAGTCTCCAACTCGACGGTTCTGATTTCAGTTCAACACTCAGACCATAAAATTTAATATAAATAAGCAAGGGCAGCCAGCCACTTGGCAATGGAAATTGTGGCAGCAATAAAAGTGCACACAAAACGTTAGCAACTGCGGCATGTCGAACAAGCCGGAAGTGCAGAATTAAACGTAGCACTAGGAATATCCAACAAAGAAAGATCGGAAAATTCAAAACACTTACCAAAATGTTGACTTAATAGTGTGTGAGAGGTATTAAAAGCCAAAAGTGCCACTCAAATATATGGAGTGTATACACAAGTAAGGGAAGGTTAAATTCGGATGTAACCGAAAATGTCATACTTTTGCAACTTGCCAAGATCAAAGCTACATATTGACCAGTATATCCGGTATAAAGCCAACCGGTAGTTTGAAAATCTTATTTTAGGAATATGGCAGATGGGGTTGTATTGACACGATTTTATCTATTTTTGGAATTATTGCATATTGTTACCAGAAAAAGATGCTCTTTGAGTTTAATTGTGGTATCTCACAACCATTAACAATATACCTATAATATATGGATTAAAGTTAGCCGGATGTTTCAAAATCCAGAATATCAGTTATATGGGGACAAGAGCATGTTTGCACCCAATTTTATCAAGTTTAGGCAAAAAGATGCACCGTTATTAAAAAAACACGCTCTTCAATTTTAGTAAGATAACTCAAATATTTCTCGATATATGCGGTATAGTCAGTTGGAAGTTCGAAAATCTTTCTATTAGGTATATGGGGGCTATGGGAATTATTAATTCGATTTAATCCTTTTTTGGCATTCAGGCATACTATTATAAATTTATCATACAGATTTAACGATATTTTTGATAAAAAGTTCGCAATAGGAATACGAATGGGGTCCACATATTCGGTATCTGGGCTCTTGAATCTGATTATACGCTTATACAAGTATGAGCACATATGTATGTCCTCATGTACAAATGCGCGCTTACTATGAATACCAATCGACACCGAAAATATTAGACAAACAATCAAACAACCAAATGAAAACCAAAATGCCAATGAATGATGTTCAGAATTCATTTATTCCTGCAGAGTGGAGCCAGAGCCATAATTACCCAAAAACGCACAAAAGAGCACGTCAAATGGAGTGACAACAGAAGATATTCACGCTGCATTTTTGCCAGGCTTGCCACAAGCACGGAGACACAAGCCAGCCGTGTCAATACTACTAATAATACATGTATATAGAGCACAACAACAAAAGAAATTACAACCGCCAATTGACCAACACTTTCATAATTCACATTCATTTATAAAAAAAAATTCGGCTGGTATTTTTGGATATACTATGTGCATATGTATATAATTTGTTTACGATTTTAAACGAAAAATGTTACACACCAGACCGGAAAACTTTCTTTTCTACCCATGATTCAATATCTGAAAAAACAAGTTTGCTTTAATACTCAACAAAGTGTGGCACACTCTTTTACAGCAATGAAATTTTTAAATTATTTGTTAACAGTATACTAAAAAGTCATTGACAGTTATATTTTGTCGATAAGACAACAACTAAAGATGGCGACCTTCTTGTATCAACTTAAAATAATCAACAACAACAACCCAAAAATGTAATCTTTCAACGCTATAAACAACCAAGAAAAGTTAACGCATCATGGCGATGTTGGTACCCATTCATTGCGATTTTTCGTGGAAAGTGTAGACCTCTTTATAAGTTAATAAGAAACATTAATAAATCAATTTTGTTATCAGAAACATACGTGGTTTTTAAAGAAGTAACTAAAGCACCGATTTTGCAACCAATCGCAAAAGGATATTCTTAGCACATTTCATTGGATACATACTATGCTTACTTATAACACTATGCCTGGGTTTATATACTATTTTTAGGACACATATTTATTATTTCATTTAAAGAATGTAACTCTGATTCTGCTTTAAATAGTGCATCCATCAAATGACACCACAACTTGATGATGTAGATGGGTACATCAACAAATATTCGACAACATACTTAATGAAGCAAACATGTAGAGATTTAAAGAGCCGCTAAAAAGAAATCTAACATAATGGCTGCTTCCCTGAATGATTTATGCCGCCGTGAATGTGTGTAGCCTGAACCATACATACTTACCCATATGTAGGGATGTAAGTGTGTCACGTGGGTAAAGTTACATCTCGAATTAAACTAGCAAATGGTGACATAAATTTTCACCTGCATTTATGTGCTTTCATTAAAAGTGTAATAGATTTACTTTCCACGAATTTGCAGGCAGGTTTACTTTTTGATTTTGCATTGAATATCTGCATGCGACGTGTTTTGCCTTTTTAATGAAATTTTCAAAATGAAAAGAATTAAAAGAAAGTGTTATCCTTTGGAAATGGCGATATTAATGGAGTTCGAATCATTGCATTATTGTGCGAATTTATTAATAATTGAAAACTTTGGGCAATGTTCTAAACGTCAGGATATACACACATACAAGTACATTGTATATCTTTGTGTTGTGTTTCACGATGTTGTTGTTATAATTCATATTATATTAGTTGCTTTATTAATTTCTTATACACGGTACTTGTGCAGATTGATGAAATTGTTTTGAACCAAGTATGTAAATTCTCGGGCGGTGAATGTATCAATAACAAGTAAGGGAGGGCTAAATTCAGGTGTAATCGAACATTTTATACTTTTGCAACTTGCAAGGATCAACGCTCGGGAAATATCTGCAGGTGTTAAGAAAACTTTATATTAAAAAATGTTGCAAAAGTATTCAACATAATTATTAAACGAAATCGTGAATGGATTACACTGCACTGTAACATGGGATTGTCAGGATAATGTTGGTTGAAATTGGTCAAGTACTTCCGGAGATCCCATTACGCCTATCCACAATACCAAACTTCTTGTGGTGCCAAGGAACACGTGTAAAAAGTTTCATAAAGATATCTTAATTTTTACTAAGTTACAGCTTGCATGGATGGACAGACGGACGAACAGACAGACAGTCACTCGTATTTCAACTCGTCTTGTAATCCTGATTATTTATATATACTTAACCCTATATATAACCCAATTATTTTTAGGTGATACAAACAACCGTTAGGTGACCGAAACTATTATACTCTGTAGCAACATGTTGCAGGAGTACAAAAATTAATGTAGAACCCAAAGGGCCAAACTATAATATTTCGCTTTGCTGAACGCTTAAAATGTGTGTACATATGTGATCTATAGATATGCATATACATACATACACACATGGTATGTGGTTTGCAGTAATTGAACTGAAATGAAGTTTTATTGTTATTGTGCGCAACCAACCAACCAACTTCATCAACGCCCACCGTCAGTCATCTAAATGAACCTTTTTGAGTTGCGCTTTATGTATTTTATTAAATAACTTTTACAACATTTTACATAATCACCATAACTGACACGGACAAATCCCTCAAGTATGTCTCAAAAGGGTACTGGGCCCTTTATAGACCGCTCCGAAAAAGCAGTTATGCTACAAATAAATTCTTGTGAGTGCAAGGTTCAATTGCCAAGAACCTAACACACACATTTACACTCGCTCACAAGGCTGCAAAGGGATTTTAAGTATAATTTGTGCCCAAAGTATCTGTGGTATTTATAAGCGTCTCGTTTAGTGATGGGAATATTTGGGTGAGTGTATCTTTTTACAATCTGTTACTTAGCTTACAAGCTTTTAGCTTTGAACATTTTTTGAGAGTGCCTGTGGATACATATGTACATACATAAGAATAACATTTCATTTTCGTGTCCTTGGGGAAGCATATTCATTATCTCGTTGTTGAATTTGTTATTGTGCTATTGTCTCCGATAGACAGCCGCTCTGTGGTATTTTTGCGTTTATGACTGTTTGAAAGCTTGTGATTGTTGTACCTCAGAAGACTTTGTGTTTGCCGATTTGCTCAGTAAAACTTCTTCGCACAAATTGAGCCTTTTCAATTGCGCAGAAATAATACGAAATGTTTTGTGCGGCTTGAAGTACATCCTCATGGGAATAATTATGATGACATAAAATTAGAAATGGATTTCATAAGTGACACGGTATATGGTGAAGCGCACAAAGTTATTTTCAATTTAATTGGGAACAAAGTTAGCACAGTAACTGTATGTGTGTTTAAAAAGAATTGCAAGAAATCTGAAACGAGTGTGAAGACTCGACGTTCATCAGGATTAACTAACGACTGTGTCATATACATATATGCTGTTTTTATATGTGCATATGTGTGATTGTGTGCATGTATACAAGCTAAGTAGCAGAGGTTACATTAATTTAAGCTTCTCCCTGCGAAATTAAATTTACTGTGCAATAAAGCTTTTAATTTGGAATTTATTCACTCGTATCTGCATTCGCTACAAAAGCGTTTGCCAGGTGTCGTTACACATTTCTTCACTCACCTCAGGACAATAATTTCGTAAAACCTTACCTGCGATTGCTCTACAATTTTAATCCTATGCCGGAATGAAAATTTAGTTAAGCAGATAAGCTCTGCGACTCTAGCAAATCAAAGTGGTGAAACTACTAACATGCAGATACACTTATAAGTTATGTTTGTTACTTCTGTTCTAGCAAGCAGAATGATGTGATTTTTGAAATAATGCGTGTGCTTAATCCATGTTTGAATGCTTTCGCTTTAAAATTAAATTAAAATTTATTGAGATCGATGCCTTATATGCATTTGGAATTGATGTACTGAAAATTATACATAATAATTTCTCAAGTAAGTGCTTCAGTTGACTGGATATATTAAATGAGTAACAACGTCATTGAACAGTAAAAATTCTCAAGTGCTCTAACTAACGTTTAGCATATTATAGCAACATCAACTTCAGAAAATTAAAATTGTAATGCATTACTAATGTAATTAAAAATCCTAGCACGCTGCACATATAATTACTGCTATCTTTTAGGAAGTCAAGTTATTGGCTCTTTGCTTATTACCCTCTTTGATCTACTTACGCTATTCACATTTCAAACCTTGCATTGTTTGCCAATTTTTAGCGAAGTGAATGTACTAAAGCGTGTTTGTCGTACGAATTCCTTGAAATTTGTGCTAGAATGAAAACAGTTGGCCGCCTTTGTCCTCCGGACATTTCAGTCTTTTATTTACGCCAAAAATTTATTAGCATTTTCTTGTAGAATAAAACAAGTATGAATTGCTCGAAGTAGATTTTCAGTCATTTGAGAATGCCTATAGCAACAGTTTTTGTGGTAATTTCGAGTTACTTTTCTTGTCCTTCTTGCTAACGTTGTTAAGGAAGTGGCGCAATTCTTTTCCTTGCTTTGATATATAAAAACTTATAGCCTTGCAACAGGACAATCAACGACATGCATTCATGAATGTATACGATGCTTGGTTTCTGCTTTGCTTAACCAATAATAAATTACATTAGCTTCCAGAAACTTTTCTCAACCTATTTACATAAGTGCAACAAATAATTAATTAAACTATAGCAAAGTAACGCGCTAAATAAATAGGTATGTGCTTATATTTCAATGTAGAAAGCCACAGAAACTAATTAAAAGCACTTCTGCAATTGACAAATGTTAACAGAAATTCTGCAGCAAGTACTACTTGAACAGTGTATAACTTACTATCCATAACAGTAGGTGATAACGGTGGTGGTGTTAGCTGATATTACTCCAGAAATCCTTTACCGAATCTTGTTTTGTAAGCAAATATTTGACACATTGAAATTGGAATTGAACTATCGCTTGCAGTTAGTTCAGCATATATGTATGTTAAGTACATATAATCGTTTGAGCGATTCACACTGTATCGCTGGGAAATAAATTTTCATCACATAAAACAAGTGTTTGATTTATTTGGCTTTGATTTATATTTTATAAGCTTTTACAGTGGCTTGAATTCCTTAAATAAATATCAAATATTATTTACAAAAAATATATATTTAAATGCATAGTATGTACACGAATACTATATCGCGCTGTTCATCTTCTTGTTGGTGGTGGTAACTAGAAAATCACAATTTTGTCTGATTTACGCTTTTGATGCATTTTTATACTCTCGCAACCTGTTGCTACAGAGTATAATAGTTTTGTTCACCTAACGGTTGTTTGTATCACCTAAAACTAATCGAGTTAGATATAGGGTTATATATATATAAATGATCAGGATGAAGAGACGAGTTGAAATCCGGGTGACTGTCTGTCCGTCCGTCCGTCCGTGCAAGCTCTAACTTGAGTAAAAATTGAGATATCTTTATGAAACTTGGTAGACATGTTTCTTGGTACCGTGAGACGGTTGGTATTGCAGATGGGCGTAATCGGACCACTGCCACGCCCACAAAACGCCATTAATCAAAAACAAATCACTTGCCATAACTAAGCTCCGCAATAAGATACAAGACTGTTATTTGGTACACAGGATCACATTACAGAGGGGCATCTGCAGTTAAAACTTTTTTTTTTAAAAGTGGGCGTGGTCCCGCCTCTAATAGGTTTAATGTGCATATCTCCTAAACCGCTAATGCTATAACAACAAAATTCACTAGAAACAAATGTTTTTAGCACTTCTATTGACGGTGTGAAAATAGTTGAAATCGGGTGGCAACTCCGCCCACTCCCCATATAACGGTACTGTTAAAAACTACTAAAAGCGCGATAAATCAAGCACTAAACACGCCAGAGACATTAAATCTTATCTCTGAGATGGTATAAATTGGCTTTATAGGAACCGCGTTCAAAATTAGTCAGTGGGCGTGGCACAGCCCACTTTTAGGTGAAAACCCATATCTTCAGATCTGCTCAACCGATTTCAACCAAATTCGGTGCATAACGTTCTTTTCATGTTTCTATGGCATAGTGCGAAAATGGGCGAAATCGGACTACAATCACGCTTACTTCCCATGTAACACCATTTTCAATTCCATCTGATTCTTTCACTTTCCACTATGCAAATCAGGTAACAATGATTATATCGGGGTAAAACTTTGCGTGAATAATGAAATTAAAGTATGCCACCATGCGGCCAAAAATTGTCTAAATCGAACCAAAACTGTTCAAACCCCTAAGTACTAAATATGTGGACCCCAGTGCCTATAGTTGACCTTCTACCGAAAATATCAGTCAATCCACAAAGAAATCTCAAACGAGTATACCATTTGACTTTGCGAGAGTATAAAATGGTCGGTTACATCCGAACTTAGCCCTTCCTTACTTGTTTTATATTACATTTTGAAATTTTTTTTTTGCACAATTTTCAAATTTTCGAATTTATTGTACAAACAGATATGATCTTTCAAAATAATTTTTTTTCACAATTCGAAAAAATATTATTTTGATTTTAATAATAAATATCCTATGTACTTTCTAATACCATAAGACATATGTATGTGCAGAAAGTTTCATGATGATCAGTTACGTGGTTTCGGCTTAACAAAATTCACATTCACATTTATAATATTAGTATGGATATGGTTTGCGTTTAAGCATGATCACGACAAACAGTTAGAACTACTTTTCATTTGCAAAGCACAAAGTATTGCATATTTTGCATGCACTTATTCTCCTGACATATTCACAAACATCTTACTTTCACAGTCTTTCAATGGCGCACTAATAACTTGTATTCATTTGCAAAACCATAATACACACAAACATATACAATATTGTTTTTATAATTCTTTATAAATAAAATTTGTTTGCCGTAAGCTGCAAATGTTTGGAACGAATATATGCTTCGTGGATTCCAGTCGCGGTTTCGCAGTTAATCGTTTGACCGAATTCAACTTTATTTGTGCTTTCTTTTTTCAGAAACTTTCTTTTTCTACTTTACATTGCCTATTTAATGACAATTGTTGCGTTTCACTAAGATCTCAAATGATTTATGCTTTCGCCCCGCTTTCCCTGAACTGCGTTCAGACGCGCCAATCAGTCAACTGGAGATTGTTCAATAGTCGACGCAGCTTTTATAGGCGCCATTCTAAAAGGAGCGTGCTGATTTTCCAGTGATTTCATCTCACCGTTATTCTCATTCAGTTATGCGGCTGCGCGGATAAAGTTGAATTGTTTTGTGTAGCCGGCTTTTTATCTGCTTCTTCTATTCAACACTTTCCGCGACTGTGTTGCTTGTACCGCATATAGCGCTGCGGTTTCAATTGTCGCCCCATTGATGATTTTGTTTACATTTTTCATAAGATTTCATTAGCATGTTGGAGCACGTGCTTCGGCATATGCTCAAGTAGCTGGGTGCAGGCGTAACACTTCTAAGCAATCTAGGTGAAGCACACACACTTGCCTGGCCCCTGTCGCGCACCCCGGAAGTAACATGTGGCATGTATATTGCTACGAACCTTCTAATGGTACCCGAATCTGACAACCGTTACCTGTTTAATTATGCTGCTGGTATGTATGTATATATAAATGGCTTACTGATCTTTGAAATGCATTCTTATTTGAACAAAGTGAGTTAAGGCGTAGATTTGAGAGGCGTAAGTAGTTTGAAGACAGGAAGAAGCCTGCAGAAACGCGCCAATGGGGAGCTGGAAGAGATTAGACACAATTAATGCGTTGGAAAGTTGAACTTCAACACGCATTCTATGTGTCTGAGTGTGAATTTTGTGGCATTTTATTAAGCTCCTATTTATATCAGAACACACAAAGCAATTTCTTCTTTCTCCACTCAATTTGCATATTATCTTTATTAACTTCAGCAATAAACAATAAGCAACTACACATTAATGCATATATACATATATAAATATCATATATATAATATATTCGCAAATATAGCGGCATTATGTTTATCAAAGGAAATTTTTTGGTTTCGACATGTCTAACTCTGAAATCCTTGGCCAAGCAGCCAGCACCTGTTGTATTCACTACACAGCACTACATTGTCGTTGTTGTAAAGCACCTACATATTTGATTTCACAACAATAAAAGCTTATTTATGAGTATGCTTTTGTACACTGTTAACATTTGGCAAGAGAGCAACAGCAGAAACCACCCAATGGCAATAAGAACATTGCCCGCAGCAATCTTGGCTAAGTTGACTGTCAACTGCACTGTGATTTATCGCTCTCGAGTTAAGCGTAGAAAGGTTAATTTTTAATCCCTTTTAGTGGCTTAAGGCGTCTTGAGTGGAGATTAGAGTGCCACAATGCCAACAGTAGCAGCCAGTGAATTAAGAAGCACGTACACAAAGGTAGGGCGGCAGATACAAAGGGAAGACAGTGGTGGAATTTGATTCCCTCCATTAAGCCATGGGTGGTAGTGGCTGGTGGTCACCTGGCTTGGATGAAATTTAATATAAAACTCTAAGTATAAGTTGTTACGTAACATATTAAATGTGCGCAAATAAAAAATAACTGTATAGAGTACATATATCTTTAAAAATATCTCATCATTTTCTGTCCGTTCTTGGTCACATTGTCATTCTTAGTGTATCTAGTAGAGAAATGTCGAGCGCATTGTGAGTGCAACCAGAAGCAAAGTGGTGACGACCTTACGAAAATTAATGGGTTGAATTTATCTTTATTTTGAAGCATGCAAGTGTATAGAATTTGATTTAGTTCATTTTCATACTAAGTTGCGTTTCAAGTGTTGAGCCTAAATTGTTAAGATAGAACAATGGGTAACAAGTTGATGACATTCGGCTGCTCTCAGCTAAAAACGTTACATATGTATGTGAAAACTTGGCAAAATTATTATTACAAAACTAATAGGTGTCTCATATTTAGCAGCTTTTTTACCTCATCAAAGTGAAAAAACCAGCCGAGTTTATTCAAAATATTACACAACTAAAACCAAACTTTTAGTAATATTATTGGGCAATAATATGCTGATTGTTTGTATTTTCAGACTTTTTTACAGTTTTCCAGAATACTGCCTTTCAGCAGTTGCTCGAGCTCATATTATATGATTAACATATGGACTATTAATGCACGTAACTTCGGTATAGACTGCATGTTTATAACGAAAACGCTGGTTATGAATATATATGTGTGTATAAATGTGTGTGCCTTACATGCTACTTAAATTTATTTTCAAACAAACAATCTTAAACACATTAGATTTACACCAATTATAGAACAAGTTACTAACACGTTCTTTTATTTGATTTGAATGCTGAACTGTTATTGAGGATTTAATACTAAAATGAGGAAATCTGCTGCCTAATTAAAATGTACAATATTTTTAGAAACATGCAGTCGGCTGACTAGTTGGGCAAGTGGTTTATTCCGATTGTACAGTAGAATTAATTTAGTTGCTTTCACTACAGGGTGCACATATGCTTATGCCATTTAATCACTCAGCTCTTCTTCGCCACACTTGTTGTTCTGCGCTCGTCCTTTAGGATCATTGATTTCCATTCTCGCATTCACGACTGAGCGCATTTTCACTACGGCGGAATGTGAAAAATTCCCATGGAAGAATTCAAAACTAATATCACAGGTGTAAATGTTTGTGTGCGCAAATGACAAACCTCAGGGACAATGTATTTTCTTCTTCCGCATCATTCGTCGTTGCTATGAGAACTTCCATTATCTAACAAGTATGTGCACATCTCACAAATAGACAACACAGTTGATATATTTATGCATTTGTTAGTAAGACCCGCGAATAAGCATCCTTACATTGCACTCGTTATCGCATTCACATTTATGTTCGGCACACTCATACCCTGACTAAATTCTCTTGCAGTTTGCTTTGCCTTTCCGAATTGTGGGAGTTCGCACTTGTTTTTCATATATGGTACTATAGAACTCAACTCCTCACCTATTTTAATGCATTTTTGCTCCTTCATTCGCAGGCCATATTTGCTAACTACATATCTTTAAGACGCACTCAACTCCAGTCGTAACCCTTTTTTGAAAATTCATTTCAACCCACTTCATTCCAGCACACAATCATTGTGGTTTTATATACATATAGGTATAATGCAAGTAACTCCACGGTAAATGGGCGTTCATTAAAGGTCGCAAAACACCATGAATGTTTTTTGGTTTGGTACTGTAATCCATTCTTCTAAATCGGTTGACATGATGCAGTGAATCCACTATTTCGAAATAGCTACCAGTTCCCAGAAAGTATATTATTTGCTTACGTGTCAGTTTTGGTAACATAGAATAACTTAAATCATTGTTAACGGTGTGGGTTCTTGCGGGTTTTGAAAAGTAGTCAACCGCTCTGATATTTTATCAGCGAAGTTGATGTTGAAATCGCCAGCTAAGATACGTGGAAATTTGTTATTGTTATTGATAATACACTTAATTTCAATTGTTTTGTTCAAGTCAAATGAGATACTGTTCCAAAAGGTGGCGTAGCTATTTACCAAAATAATAATAATTGTACTAATATTATGACTGCGAATATTGAATAATTTAATTTTTATTAATTAAATGTTTATTTGCCATAAAAAAAACTGTAACTTAAGTATTATAATTTTTAAATCACCTCGCCTAAAAGTATGTAAACATTTTGCGTATACTTTGCGATCGTGTTAGGTTTATTTCCGTTACGGATTTCTTGATGTTTAAATTTCATTTTCTCAGGATTATCAATAAACAACAAAACTGGTTATATGTTACTGGCATGCTCAGTACAAGTAACCAACAATTGTTGTTTTAATGATCCACTCTTGCTCTTTCTAAGATTGTGCCGCCGTATAATATCTAGTGCATGCTTCTCTTATTTAATTCGATCCAAAACATACCAAAATTAGTTACAATCGAAGGAAAGAAATATTAGTTCTGAATCTGTTGAAGCTGAAAATGTCGCATATTCCATATTCATCTTCTTTCATAACCTTAGTGACGCTATTAAAGTTTTATGGAGCGCATGAGTGGAAACAGACGCACTCCCTTTGCACAGCCTGCCTTTTCAGTTCATACATATATATATACAGGTTTATCTAGTTGTTATTTATACCACACAATATCGCTGCAACAACAACGGCGAATAGCAATGATAGCGGCAATAGCGAAATGTTGATGAGTCTTGGCACTTTGGAAAGAAAAATGCCACTGTTGCCAATGTTGAAATGAAAGCGAACTGGCTTCAGTGTGATTTATGGTTCTGCACTTCCAAATTAGTGTAAACGTAAATGAAAATAAACGGAATCGGGGTTGCTGCGTATCAGTATCTGTATTGATTTCAGAAATATAAACGAAGCGTGAGGTATGAGACTTTAAGGCTTTAAAGAGCAACCAAATAGTGCACTAAATCTGACTTTTTTAGAAATTTGCAAGAAAAGACTGGTCGACTACCGTTGCTTTCATCAGCTCGTTTGCTAAGCAAATGGTCGTTATATGTTGTTGTAAAACAAAACCAAAAACAAAATTCAAGACTGGCACACTCGTAAAAAATATTTGTAAGTATGCCTCACTAGTTGGGTTTCCTAAATAACCACTGGAAACTCATTAGCAGCGCAGTTCATTAATTGAGTTCAAATGGAGCCCACATCGCAGCTGGCAGCTGGCATCTGAGCTATTCTGTTATTAAAAACTCAATGCATTGCTTGGGCATACAGTTAGCCGTTCTTTGAAAAGTTCAAAATGAAAAATTGTTTGCCAATTTGGTAAACTGTGGGCAGACAGTAGTCCACAGTCGCTTAATCATTCGTGAAACCTATATCTACATACTTTTTATTCATATGTATAGACACATATATAACTACAAAAAATGTCCTTCCACAAAGCCCTAAATGGTTTTTAATTTGGCAACAACTCATCTGAGGCTTGCCTCAAGCGTCTAAGCAAATCGTTGCGGAGTCGTTTTCAGCCATTAAAATGAAGTTAGCGCGACGAAAGAAGGAGCGCGGTTTATGCATTTAGAATTTTAATTTGTAGGTCAATGTAGAATAATTTGCTATTATGTCTTCGGGAAAAAACTGAGAGTAGCATTGTCCTTTGAAAAGTTGAAGTTTGAAGCTTTAGTATTCCGAGCACGTATCTAAAGTGACCACCGACATGACCTTACACACACACGTTTAAATCCATGAAAAACTTAGACTGTACAGGCACAGGGACGTATTCTTAAACTTTGGCCGATTGTAACTGGTTG